GCTATCGAACAGGGTCTTCACCTCAGGCTAGGCTACCTCGGGTGGTTGTCTCGTTAAGCGAGTAGTGGTTGCAAAGCACTATCAATATCACGTCGAGGAATGGCAGCCTCGACGGAAGCCTCGTGAAGCGAGCCTGTGAGCTTGAGCTCCAAAGTTCTTGAGCTTGATGACAGGGTTTTTTCAATCAAACCGTGGAAGATATGTTAAAAGTATATATTGAATAAAATTAATAAACAACAAAGATTCACAATTAACATATACAAGTTATTTACCATGAATAAGATTTGTTACAATTCGCTCTGTATCGCTTTCCGTCTCATGTACTCCCACTGAAGTACTGTAAACGTCAAAAGTAGACGTTCGATCACTTTTGTGGGATTTCCATACTTTTGGCGGACCGGGCCTTGAATTGTCCGCCAAAATCTCGAACCAAAATCATCCATCGTCCCCATCAACGCCGGGACTCGTTCCCCTCTGGCCTCTCCGGATAGTCGATGTCGGCGTCGGGGATTTTGGAGTTTTTTCCCGGTTTGGGAAAAACTCTACCCGCGGTCTCGGCTTAGGCTGCCGAGCATCGCATCCAACCGCCAGAGCGGTGGAACCTTCGGAAGACGGTCCTTTCGGCCCAAAGACGGGGAAATTGGAAACATCGGTGAAATTTTCCCCGTCTTCGTAAAAGGGCTTACGGAGGTCTTATTTCTTGATGGATTCATTTGAAATTTTGTCTGTTGATACACGGCATGACATAGTGCCGTGGTTGGAGGGTTCGACCGAGATCGCGCGGATACTTTCGGCGGCAGCTCTAAAGGCGTGAAAACCTATTATGGCTTAGCTGGCCGTTAGTAGTCGGGCGATTCGGTTCGAATTTGGATATGACAACCACCTAGCGATACTCTAGTGTGGTTGGAGGGTTCGGCCGAGATCGAATGAGCGGAACGGCTGAAAACGCGGAAAACGTGAAATCCGCGTTTCCCCGTATAACGGCGTTTTGGCTCATCCGATTCGGACGAAAATTTAGTAAGATAATGCTAGCGACTTGAGGAGTGCTGCATTAAATTTTGATACCGATCGCTCAATAACTTTAGGAGTTATTGGCGATAGCGTCCTTGACCATTTCAAAAGTGTGGTGAAATATCTGATGACTGTTTCCAAATGTCGTCGTGTAGCGTCCCGGGGTTCGACTGCAGGTTGCGAGAGTAGCGGCAGTGGACACTGCGCGCCGGGATGGCAGACCCAGGCCAGATCGGTCGCGATGCGGGTGACATTGGAAACATCGGTGAAATTGCTCTGGAAGCGCTATCGCCGGGAGGATCGATGTCTGAAGACTCTTATAGAGACTTTTTCATTTTGCCCGGCCGACGGCGATTGATTACGCAACCGTGGCGGGTTTTTGATTGGAATTGGAAAGGTAGGTGAATTGGATTGTTGTCGCCTCCTTATCAATTCAGCGGTCTCCGGCATATCCGTAGGTACAAGATTATAACTTCTATGAATATACGGGGTGTTCTGAAATCCTGAAGCTCGCTCGAAGGGTGGAATACGACAAAATGGTAATGGGCCTGTAGTTTTCAATATCAGCGGGATCACCAGCTTTAAGTATGGGACAAACACTGGCTGCTTTCCAGGAATATACCTTGTTTTAATGACAAGTTAAAAATTTTATACAACGGTAAAGCAAACGCATTAGCACAAAAAAAGCTGGGTAACTTGTCCGGCCCGCAGGTCATTTTATTTTTTAGTTTCCTAGCAGCGCAATTGACCTCAAACTATGTTAAATTAATAATGCCAATAAGAGGCAAATAAAAATCAAAATCGGTGGACAAATCCACTGTGGTTGCATCAGGTTTCTAGAATACACTACTAAAAAAGCTACTAAATTCATCCACAATAAGTTGAGGCCCATTAAGTTTGACCCGATTGTGGTGCATTGAACCAGGAATTCTACTTTGACCCTTTTTACTATTGACATCAGACCAAAACTTTTTTGGATCCTCTTTAATTGAATGTTCAACATTTATAAGATAGTTATAGTAATCACGTGTAATCTGAGTTTTAACAAGGGCTCTGAGACGGTTAAAATCCGATAAGTGATCATTGGTTTTAAACTTTTTGTAACGCCTGAATACTTTTTCTTTGAGACAGATACTGTGTCTTAATTCAGGCGAGTACCAAAAAGGATATCTACTTGGTTTATGGATATATTTCGGAACATACAATGTCAAGAATAGAATATACTATTTCATAAAAAGCGTCGCACGCTAAATTAACATCATTAAATTGTTCCAGAAATAACCAATTAGTATCTAAAATGCTGTTATATAGAGCTGCGAAATTAGCTTTACGGAAGTTATACGATTTAGAGGAGTTTGAGACAGGGAATTTAATTAAGTGAGACATGAAACTTGGTAATGACACAATTAGTGCAGGATGGTACCTATCTTCCGGCACCAAAGGCGAACCATCACGAAATACGTCACAATTACATTTGCACAAGATCAAATCTAGAATTCTACCATCACAGTTACTGATGTTATTGCATTGCTTCAAAGATAAAAATTCTATGAATCTGTGCAAGAAGGTGGCATACGCATTACGTACATTTAAATCATAAAGCATAGGTCTATTGAAGTCACCTTCAATCAGAACATTTTCGAAATTATTAACATATTGTTCAAACCTATCAACAAAGTTTTCGAAATCATGAACAGCAATATCAGGCGGAATATACAAAACAAATATATACACTGAACAGTGCTCAAATAAACATTTAATACCTACAATATCCATAATATGAAAGTTGTGCCTAAAATAACTTAAATTTAAGACTTCACTCACAATGGAATGATTCTTTGCCAGAAGCACTCCACCTCCACGATTTAAGCCGGTCAACTCAAAGTCACGATCACATCTAATGACGTCATATTCATTGGGAAAAAGCTCAGAGCTAGATACGTTGACAGAAAGCCAAGTTTCAGTAAGACCAATGAAATCAAATGGAATTCCACTAACAGCTGGATAGAAAAAATTTAGTTTGGAATTAAGTCCACGAACATTTTGGTAGTAAAAACTTAAGTTATGTACACTGTTGGACGAGCCTAGTTTAAATTAACAATCCTGGGAGAACCGCGGATATATTTAATTTTAATATTATTCTCACCAGCCTTCAGACGATCATCCAGCTCGACTTTGAGTTTCCTGTATTGCCCCATTTGCCTTGGTGTTCGGTCAAACGTCATGGAGATATTTTTAAGGTGATGTTTTGATTTTCTTAAGTTTGAAAATTTCTTTATTATATCACTGACGTCTTCAGAATCCTTAAGAATAACCTTGAGCGGACGTGGTTTGACTCTATCAGAATTATATTTGCCCAGATGGTGGAAATTGACTATCTCAGTTGACTGATTGTTCGAAATTTTTTGAAACAAATTATTAACAGCAGATTTCTCATTATCTATTCTCTCATCTTATTGTAGACTAGAGTCTTGCTCAGCTATCCCAAAAATAACTAAATTTCGCTTACGTTTCTGACGTTCATTGAACTCCTGAATTATGTCTTCGAAGGAATCATTGATCTCAGGCTTAGATACGCTGGCCTTAAGTTCGCGTATTTCCTTTTGTAAATCAACAATTAACGCTTTCAGCTGGTTAATCTCATTGCCCAATGTTTTGCAGTCAGAACAAGTCCAGTGTAACCTTTTATTCTTTATATTCAAGGCTTTAGCTTCAGTGACTGATAAATCCACACATTCATGGAAATATGTATTTTTACAAACAGCACAAGATACTGTTTGTCCTTTGACAATTAATTTTTGGCAACAACAACAAACGGTGTTTTTCTCCGGCATTTTAAAAAAGTAAGTTTCTATAGAAACGGATTAAGACGTTCTATATTATGTGCACAGTCCCAACCGCTTAGAATACTGATAAGGAATGATAAGATTCTTGCATTTGTTTACTCGTACATAAGTTTACTTACAATTGATAGCGAGTTGTGCATAGCCCACCCTAAGGTACTAGCACGCAGCACTTATAATGGGAATAGTAGTATTTTCAAATTTAAAAAACAACTCCCTACTATTAACTCGCACCAATATAAACTGAGCAAATAACAATGTGTATTATCAGGTGCTACTCAACTGCACGATCTTTAAAAAATCTTCCTCCTGGAAAAAAATTAACTCAAATCTAAGTATCTCGGAAACTAGTGGCTTTTCGAAAATTGTTTATTAATTTTTATCACAAAAGTTGCTTATAATTTAGAGATCTTTTATTTGCGCCACTTTCAAAACTGCTGTCAACAAAATATGTTTTCGAATTGCAACGACATCTATACCTGCACTGACAGGAACGGGATTTGTACTCACCAGTAAAGCCATTTATTGAAACTATACAGTGGATTTTTCAGAAATCATTTATCTTTTTCCGTTTTCGAGATATCCAACTGGGGAGTTTTAAACGGGTGATTCAGTTTGATATTCGCGGCCCCGTATCTCTTTTATTTTAACATATAGCTAGGGGAAAGCGGGGCGGAACGGACTGGCAGGGCAGAACGGAATTTGCCATTTATTAAGCTGATTGGTGTCGTCCTCTATCAGCGAGATTTGCATACAATTAGTGCGTGTATAAGAAGTGGCCTATAGCATACTTGCTGTTTTGGTTGAGATCTAAGCTTCATTTCTCTACAAGTACGTGAGCCGAACGTTTGTGTGCAAGAGTGCGAAATATTTGTGAAGAAGGTAAGCTAAATCGATGGATTCCAGACAGTTTCTTCCACTCTGTCTTGATCAAACATTATCTAAACTACATTACTGTGTATGTGCTATATCATTCTGCTTTTTGAAAATTAGAAAATTTTATGGAGAATTTAACCTATCACCTGTGGGGCGCAACGGACTTTACCGAAGCGGGGTAGAACGGGCCGGTCCGTTCTGCCCCGCGTTTGGTCCGTTCTACCCCGCGTATTGCAAAGAGATATTGTTTATTTTTGTTTTTAATTGTAGATGGTCAGGGACTACGTTCGAAAAACTGAAAGGCAGAAATGGAGCACTGAAAAGATGGAATCTGCCATAAAAGTTGTTATCAATGAAGAAATGTCACTTGTTCGAGCTGCAACTCAATTTGGCGTGCCAAAAACCACACTTCTGAGGTACAAAAATCAAAAACTTCAGGATCCTACATTCAGAATTGACAAAACAAAAGGGAAATTTACATGCGTTTTCTCGGCAGAACAGGAATTGGAACTAGTTGTGTATCTCAAAGCTATGGAACGGCGATTGTTTGGGCTCACAATGCAAGATTTTCGGTCAGTTGCGTTTCAACTTGCGGTCAAAAATGGTTTAGATCATTCGTTCAACAAAGATAAAAAAATGGCCGGCAAAGACTGGATGGCGAAATTCATGGACAGACATCCAGAGCTGAGTTTGCGTAAACCTGAAGCGACTTCAGGTGGCAGAGCAATGGGTTTCAACAGGGTGAACGTTTCTCGATTTTTCGAACTTCTAACAAGTATTGTGGAAAAACATAAGATAACTGCTGATCGAATCTACAATTGTGACGAGACAGGAATTACAGTGAATCCTAAGGGACATTCCAAAATCATTGCTTCTAAAGGGAAACGTCAAGTTGGAGCACTTAAATCAGCGGAACGTGGCGAAACTGTTACAGCGGAGCTGTGCTTTTCTGCAAGTGGAGCTTACATGTCACCGATGCTCATATTTCCCCGCAAAAGAATGCAAAAAGAATTTGAATTGGGTTTGCCCCCAGGATCGTGGGCAGAGGCGCATGAAACAGGTTGGATAAATACTGAAATATTCACGAGGTGGTTCCGAAAATTCATAAAGTTTTCCAAAGCAAGCAAAGAAAACACCGTTTTATTAATCCTGGATGGACACTCAACCCATACCAAAAATATTGAAGTCATCGATTTGGCACGAGACAATGGAGTTGTTTTGTTGTGCCTGCCGCCCCATGCTTCTCACCGTCTTCAGCCACTCGATGTTTCTCTGATGAAACCAATCAGTTGCTACTACGAAGCTGAAACAAGGAAATGGTTAAGGACAAATCCAGGGAAAGTTATTACTCTGTGGCAAGTTGCATCTCTTTTTGGTTCTGCGTTCGTTAATGCTGCAACTATGCGAACTGCAATGAAAGGTTTCGAGAAAACAGGAATCTGGCCATTAGACATGAGCGTCTTCACAGAAGATGATTTCTTGCCATCTGCTCCAACGGACATTGATATTGTTCCTCGACCACCAATGACAGCAGAAGATGAACTGGATTCGATTACCCAACCCAAAAATCCAACAACCGAAGCACTCCCGCCTTCACCATCACTCACTGCTTCAACATTGCCGATTGTGACGGTGGCTTCAACACCCAATAAACCCATTCAAGAGAGATCTCAACCAGGGTGTTCTCGGGACACTGGAATCGCAATTGAACCGGCCACACCAAGCTCCTTTGTTCTTGCATCTCCTGAAAGTGTCTTAGCCGTACCCAAAGTAAGCTCCCAGAAACAACGAAAAGTCAACAGAAAAAGGGGAAAAGCTGAGATCTTGACAGATTCTCCGTATAAAAATGAGCTCAATGAATCGCTGCAGCTTATCAAAAGGAAGAAAGAAGAAAAAGAAATAAAGGCAGCAACAAGAAATTTGAAATTTTCATCCAATGTCAATGGAAAGACTACTGCAAAGAAAAGTACAATGACAAGTAAGAAAAATATAGCAGCAAAACAGTACGAAGAAGATGAATCTGAGAGTTCTGACTCAAGCGATGCGGAGTGCCTTTACTGCAATGAATTTTATTCAAAGTCGATTGAAGGGTGGATTGCTTGTGTGAAATGTCACAAATGGGCTCACAATTCCTGTGGCGGCATCGATGAAGAGGATGACGATACGGTCTTCATCTGCGAATTTTGTCGCTGAATATATTTTGTATTAGAAAAATAGCATTTACCTTGTTTTTTAGTATATACCTTGTAACTTTTTCAAATTTCGTTTATTTAAATGTTGATTTCCGTTCTGCCCCGTGTGTGGGGTAGAATGGTCCCAATGTCTTTTCCTTTATTTTTATTTTTCCGAGTGTATATTTTTGTTTGTATTTACAGTTTGGTACCTCTTTTATGAAAATAAATGTTTTTCTATGGTATAGAAAAATTTGGAGACTCATCTGACTTTCATTTAAAATTACACAGTTTCTCAAACATTAGTAGGTCCATTCCGCCCCGCCTTCCCCTATATATTTTTAAATCGTCGCTCAAACTCTATCAAATGACATTATTAGATCGTCTCCTTGGTAATGTATGTCAAAATTTCTATAGTCAACTGTTTTTATACAAATGGCACACTATATATTTTTTTATCAATTCTGGAAGATATTTTTTTCTGCGTTCAGCTATATAAGGAAGTCTATGGGTTCATTAGAAATATTACTAGAAACGCAGTAGAAAAGATGAATCCTACTTTCAGAAGCTTTATTCTGAAAAATTATAGCCAGCTGCGGAAATAACTGAATAACTGAACGTTTCTAACGGTTTGTCAAAATAATTGAAATTTTGTACCCATCTATTCTATCTATAACTATTTATAACATGAATACTTACGGTAACCAAGAAAAACTAAATATGATTTTAATTTATGAAGAGGGCCGAAAGAATGATAAAGTTGCCAGGTATTATACCAATATCGTTTTCCGCAGGACAACTTCCATCAGATAAAATTTTCGAAAAGTTAGCAAGGAATTTGGCGGCAGATAGAAGTTTTCAAAAGAAGAGTTTTTAAACCCAGAGGGGCAAGAAATGAAGTACATTCTATAAAAATGTTAAATGGCCTGCTAGATCTCCGGATCTCACACCTATAGATTTCTTTCTTTGGCCTTACCTAAATGTTATTGACAACCTTAAAAACATAATAAGAGTAGGATGCCGGAGATTAAATGAATGTGTTTGTAGAGAGGGAGTGATAAACAGAGCTATTCTGTGTGTGGAAGCAAATGGAAATCATTTTGAATATTTGACATAAGTATTGTTTTAAATTGTTATATTATTATGGTATTAAAAATAAAACATTTTACTTTTAAAAACATAGTAACTTTTTTCGCAGCTGGCTACCATTTTTCAGAATTAACTACGAAGCTAAAGCTTCATTATTTGCTGTTTTTCTAGCAATATTTCTAATGAAACTATAGACTTCCTTATACAGGGTGTCCCGAAATTCATGCAACAAAATTTGGTCACAGATTCTTAAGACAAATTTAGGGGACCTGTATTTTTTATTTTTGCCAAGTGGCCCCCTCTTTCGGAGTTACAGCCCCCTGAAATCCGCCCCTAAGAATATTCTTTTTTTTATATCTCAGGACCCTATTGTACGAGAATCACTAAATTTGGTACACAGGGGCTTTATGACAAATGGAATCTGATGGTGCTTTTGGCGGGGAACCCCCTTAAGACAATTTTTCGTGGGCCCCCTTGTCTTTGGAGCCAAAAAAATTTGGTCGCATATTTAAATTTCTTAAAAGTTATCAGTCCACTAGAAAGCCATTAAATTTAGAAACTTTTGTCTCTTTATACTTTTTTCGTAAAACGCAATGTTTTCGAGAAAAATGTCAAAATGTGATCGAATGCATATCGTGATTCACCATATTCCTCAAAAACATTGCGTTTTACGAAACAAATATCAAGAGACAAAAAAGTTTCTAAATTCAATGGCTTCCTAGCTAATTAATAATTTTAAAAAAATCAAATTTGCGACCAAATTTTTCTGGCTCCAAAGACAAGAGGGCGCACGAAAAAGTGTTTTAAGGGGGTTTCCTGCCAAAGACCGTAGCACTGTGAGATTTCACATGTCATAATTTTTTAATTGATTCAAAATATTTTCAAGTTTGTAACTTCACCACTAGGGGGCGCAACTACTATAGTGTTACAGAAAATTGTCGTTTTTTCGAAATTTCGCTTATATAACCTAAGTTGAAAATACATTTATTAGATACACTATTAAGTTTAGTTTGAACTTTTTTTTTGTTATTACCATAGCAACGTCAGTATGAAGGACGCTATTTTGAAAATTTTAAATTGTCATAACTTCTAAATGCCTTAATCGATTTCAATAAACGATGGCTCATTTTAAAGAACTATTAATAAAATTTATATTTATGATATAGGAATAAAAATATTATTTTCCTGCACAACGGTAGACGACGCTAATGAGAAAAGTTTTGTCTCCGTTTACTAAAAAAATTAAATGCAACGATATAGGTTTTTATTCATGGTTTGATAGACCATTCATTATGGAAAACAAATACACAAACCGGAGGTCGATATCTTTTTCGTTTTCAAGTTATTGTTAAAATAGTGAAGTTGTACTAGAACATTCTCCTTTATTTAGTTCTCTAAATAACATTAACATAATCCAAGCCAAAATTAAATTATAAAACTATACCAATCTTGTCATTAAAAAGAATTATTGCTTTATTTTGAATTTTTTTTGATAACTACATTTTTTATAAATTCCAAATATCTGAGTAGTTATAAAGATTATTGTTTCTATAACGAAGGAGGCTTTGTCCTATGAAAATAGACAATTAAAAATTATGTTAAAAGATATGTGACATCTATTGCTTCGTGTTAAACAAAAAGTCTACAAGGTGCCAGTTGATACCCTAGAAGATATTAACTCCAATTCAGTGTCGATCGGCCACTACCTCCATAATTAGAAGATGTCGTGATTGTCTACAGTCCGGAGGCGCCCATTTTGAACAAAATATTTTTTAAATCATTTCATTTTTTATTCACTTTTCGCTTTGTCTAGGTATAATATTAATTGGTAATTTTTTGGTTGTTTCAATTTACAAATAAATTTTCATGTATTGTTTGCCATCTTATTTTATTTAAAAGTACACAAGTAAATAAAGTGACTACAAACCGCCTGAAAAAATTTAGGAGTATTGCAAGGATCGTTACGTTGTCGCATTACGACATAGTCACATTAGATGTTATGTACCTACTTAAATATTTCTATTGTTTTCATCATCATTTTTTTTTCTAAAAAAAAACACCCTATGTCTCAAAAACGAAGCATCTCCTAAATAATTTGAAAACTATTGGTTGAACCCAGTCATTCTCGAGCGAGCGGCCGAACTGAGCGGACGTGTTTATTGTGAAGTGAAGTG